CGGTCTAATTCATTACACATATATTTGATGGGGTTCATCCCAGATGATCAGGGAATAGGGTGAAGCAATTTGAGGTAGTTATATAAGATCCGTTCTGGAATTGAGCAGTACTTGTGCTTGAAATCGTTTTCTTGGTAGAACTTGAAATGCCAAGTTTTTTTGCACTTTCTTTCAAATTCTCCTTCAATACCCTTAAATAACAAGCACTTAATATTGAGATGGAGTACGAAAATTATGCGCAAATAAACTCAAATATTATGAAAATAAATAGCCACAAAAATAATACATACAATCGCCCCAAAGGTATAATAATCTTAACAAGAATAATTATAATAATAACAATAATTTCAGCAGAAATTATAAAAATAAAAACAACAATCATAATAGAAACCACACAGAAGCCACCAAAATAATAAAAAAAAATCAAAGAAATAACAATCAGAACAACCGTAATAGAAAATCTGGAAAATTTTTTCACCCGGATTCAATCACGATGCCTTAGAACTTAGCAAAACACATTTAAAGCAGACATCACATATCCCCCCTAACTCTTCTCAATGTCACAATTATCCAACTATATACTGCTAAATATTCAAAATGCAGCTAAACCAGAAACAACGCTACTATTAGACACTGGACCAGATGTCAGTCTCTGCTAAGCACACCTTTGAGAACACTACGCACAAAATAGCTCAGAATGTATCAATCTAGCAGGAATAACCAACGAATATACAAAATACAATTAGCAAACCAGGATTTCAATAAAAACTGATGGAATCATGGGGAAGAATTTCTTACATAACTATGCATGTAACATAAATTGTGAAAACTTCTCCCTTACAAGTAATGCGCATGATGCACAAATTAATCTCCCCATATCCGATCAAATAATTAACAAATGCAACATATTTTTCTCTGCAAGATGCGAAGTGATAGTCCTCATATATATCAAAATAGACAATGATGCTTTAGTACTAAACGAAGAAATAGAAAAAGTGATATTCATAGCCAATTCAATAATATTAAAAAAAATCACAATTCAAAGCCTACCTCATCAACACTGAAACACTCAACGATATCATATAACACACAATCACACAAACTCAACGCAACGAAAAACGTTTCCAAACTACAATACAATCTTTAAAATTAGACACCTTAAATAACATTGAAAACAAGAGCTCATAAAAATCTACCTAAGAAAAGCACGCCGACTTAACAAAATGGCAATTATTTGTTGACCACAAAAACGTAAACGAAAAAATCGTAAACGACAAATTACCCCTACCGAGACTAGAAGACGTTTTAAACAGACTGAGAGAACAAAATTCGCCTCAACACTAGATAAGACAAATTCATTCTATCAGATAAAGCTAAGTAAAAAATACCGACCACTAACAACCGTCGCCATACCCAACGGACATTATCAATATACTAGATTACCCTTTGGACAAAAAATCTTCTCCAAAAAATCCTAACCGTAGCTTTATCAGGATTAGACTCTGAACCGTTCATGTATATAGTTGACATCCATAGAAGTAGCTGCGACCTCCAATAGCAATCTAATATAAGTACTAGAACGAATCAAAACTTACAATCTAAGGCTAACCTACAAATGTTATTTCCTATAACCTGAAGTAACCTACCACGGACATCTTAAACACCCCAACAAGTTTGATACAATAAAAAGCCGCCTCTTATCAAAAAGCGCAGACGAGATACAAAGGTTTGAATTATTTTGTAACTATAATTCATTAAAAATTTTGCCAATGCAACTCAAGAACTAAATAAGTTATTAAAGAAAAGAACAACTTTTAATTGGACAGACAATTATCAAGACGCATTTGAAAAGCTCAAAAATGAACTTGTCTCACCACCCATCCTACAATACTCCGATTTTGAAAAATCATTCATTCTAAGCATCAAACTATGCATCATAAGGAGTAATGTGAAAATCTACCTATTGCGTACGGAAGGAAATCTCTAAATAAACACGAAAGAAGTAAGCCAATCATGAAAAAGGAACTATTGGCAATCTATTTGGGTATCACCCATTTCGGACGATACCTATTCGGCAGAAAATTCATAACAGTGACCGGTCACAGACCTCTTGTATCTTTATACTCGCATAAAAATCCTACATCAATACTGACCAGAATAAGGATAGCACTATCGAGCTACGATTTTGACATTGTATACTATGCGAAGAAGGTTCCTGCAATACGAACGCAGTTGCACTATCAAGAATAAACCCCAACTCAGACATACACATGTAAATGATCCCGACAACCAAAGAAGAGGATCAGGAACGGATTAAGAAAACGTTAATAATAACTATAGGTATGACGGCAAAGAATAAAACAGATGAAAACCACCGAGGTGAACTCCTAGAAGAATTATCGTCTAAGCTAAATAAATTAAATTTCAAGAATTATTCGTAAAGTCTAAATGTCAAGGTATTCAAATATATAAACGTAGAATAAATAACCGCGTCAGAATATTATTACACAAAGAAAGATTAACAATTGAAAATAAAAAGGAATACAACACAAGTCCATACTCAGCATATTTTGAAGTCAAAACAACCTTCCAAAAACTAACGCAAAATAAATCTGGCGAAAAATGTTCGAAATGATAAAAAAAACTTCGCAAAACAGCGTCACACTTGTGAAACGTACAAAGAAGCAAAACACGCAAAAGAAACATTATGTATAGACACCGCAGGACCAATCAGACTCTCTAATAACTTTCGTAACATATTAACCATACTGTTATAAAATTCGCTTTTCCAAGATGCAGTCCTTATCATTAGACCGTGGATATTTTGTTCAAGAGAAATAAACTTCAAAGTTCTTTTATTTACATTTACATTTCTTAAATGTAGGATTATTCACAATTTATTTTTGGCATTATTTTCAACTGCTCAACTTAAATATTCTTTTTCTACTAATCCTGCCTTTCACAAATGTTCTATTTATATACATTTTTACCATCATTTTACTAGTACCTAATTTTATAGTTTGATTCGTTAACATGCTTTGCTGGTTTTCCTCGGCCGACAGCTGCATGACGCGCTGTTAATGTGCATTTGGTTTTTCCCTCTTTAAGGGTTTTATTACTTCGCTGGAGTGAAAAGGATTTGGGATTTCTGTAACAATATGTTGACAACAAATATATGAGAAACAATGGTACAAACATTTTAATCTTTTAATGATTATTGAAGTACACAATAAGTAAACAAAAGGAGCATAGAAATGGAGTTTAATGAAGCAGTTGAATAAAGCAAAAGCATTGCACAATTCCATACTTTTTCTATATTTTAAATTGAAAACAAATCGTGTTTGTTGCTTGCTTTTCATATCCTGTAATATAATATTGAGTATAAGACTAAATTTAAAATCGAATAACATAAAGAAAACTTAAAATAACACAAAATAACCATGTATTCGAAAAATGACTTCTAAATTTAAAATAAATGATTCTTACTTGTTCTTCTACGCCTCTTTGTTTTTGGCTTATTTTGTTTACATAAATTCTAAAATTTTGATGATTATTTGTAGAGATTGTTTAAAATTCATTCTTCAGAAACGTATTCATCCTTTGCGAATAAATCTTACTTATGCCAATTTTACAAGTTCTGTTTTTGTCTTCTTTTTTATTTCGCTAAACGTGCCAACTTATAGAGATACCAACGCCACAAAACACTGTGTTCGGATTCTTACTACCATCACACAATTGTTGTGTTAACTGCTCGTTGCTTAACTGGACGTCGGCTTTTTTTCCTTAAAAAAATTCTGCGCAGGATATGAGGTTCGTAATTGAGATTACTGTGTAGCAAGTCTTAAGAGACAAAAGAAACTAATAAGATACATATTTGTTTGTGTTCGCTACTCCCTAATGCAGTGTAAACTCTTCATGTTCATTCTACATGCCATTAGTAAAAATGGAGTTTTCCTTATAAAATGCCACAATGCAAAAGTCGGGCATCAGCTTTCCTTTTGGTTTTTGTTCATCTTCATTTCTAACAACTTTTACTGCCACCATTGTGGTATGCTAGTTGTTGACCGAATATCTTTGAACTCCGCCTTCAGCTAATGTGTTCATGCGTGTGAGTTGCGTTCTTTTACGGGAGTGCAGGACGGAAGATGCACTGAATTTGCAGTTTTGGAAATTTAAGTGTAAGTGCTTAACTTAACTTCAGTATTTAAAAATTAAAATATTTAACTTAACTACAATTTAATTAATACTAATTTAGAGAAAAATATTTCAAATAATTTCAATATGTTAACGTTTATGTAATACCCATTGTCATAGTTACTAACTGAGAATTTGTTTTACATTTTTCTGTGCTGCCTTGTGCGCGTGATACTGCTCTGTCGTCGTGTTTTCTTTTTGTTCATTTCGATAAAAAATGCCCAACACAAATTTCTTAGTGTGTCGTTATCGCCGGAAAAAGGCCAAGCAATCTGTACTGGTTGCATGCTAAGTTTGGTGACTCAGGATGAATTTCATTTGCGACGTCAATGTTTATTACATCTTGAATTTTTTTAAAGATAAAACAGCTTGTCTTTTCTAACGCCGACAATGTTACCTTTATGTTTAGGATGGGATATTTATCGTCTATTTTTTTTCTTTATGCGTTCCAAAATCTCTTATTTCTTCTTGTTGCCCAATTCATTGTAGCATACTTAAAGGGGTCTAAAAAGAACCTCACTAGCTCGCCGAAATTGGGGGGTTCAAAGAGAAATTTGCCCTACAGAATTTTTATAATTTTATGTAATGTAAGTGGAAGTGTAGTGTAGCGTGTAAACTTACTTCGTCAGCCAGTAACCAACAAAGTAAATTAGTTAGAAATCATTTTAATAATTAAAATAAACAATATTAATAATAAATTGAAGGCGAATATGTGTATGGCAAAATCTCTAAATTAATGATTGTGTTAAAAAATTGTGAATTAAAGATTAATAGCTAATTTTAATTAACAATATTATTTAACTCACCTATTTTAAACCTCGCCGAATGTACATTCGTGAAAAAAAAAACTGAACAATGACTTTTTAACTAACAATCATTGTGTGCGATGTGACCAATCATTTTGAACGACTTGAACATGTGTTGCACCCTATTGAGAGTCTTTTTTTCAAATGCGGTAGGAGATACAGAAGACTTTAAGATTTTTCGTTGATCTTTATGGCTTTGACTCTTTCTGGAAAAAATCACTAAATCTTTGCAATTCTTGAGTTCTTCTGCGCAGATCCACGAAGTCGTGCAGGAACTTATGGTATCCGCAGGCCCTCCTCTCTCAACAGTTTCAAACGTATCCGTAACGTTTTTCAAATTCGATAGAAGATACAGAAGGCTTTAGTATTTTTCGTTGTTCTTTAGGACTTCCACTCGTTAGGAATTTGTGGTATCCGCAGGCCCTGTCTCAACAGTTTAAAACATATCCGTAACGATTTCAACAAATTTTTCAATTTTTTTTTTTTTTTTTATTATTAATTGATAAGAATTAGTTTGAAAGTCTTTTTAAGCAAAAATTTATAAATAGCAATGTATAGGATTTTTATTCCCAATTTGTAAATGTCAAAAATTTTCTTTTTTTCTTCTTTTTTTTTCAAACTTTTGTGACTAATCACTACCGACTCAAATCAGAACTGCCTCAATTGACAAAAAAAAAAAAAAATCAAAAAAACAATCGCCTACTCATTTTTCTACATCATTGATACCTTTTCTTTCAATAATCCAGACGAGGCTATTGTAGGGTGCCTTAGATGGCCGAATAATTCTATTTGAAGAGAGTTGTTTCATTTCAGAATTAACAAACTTCGCTACACTCATCGGGTATGGGCACAAGTTTGAATAGATAAATGTGCCATTGAAAATTTCCTACTCAATCAAAAGTTCATAAGGACTTGAATGTCAATTATGGTGCGGTCTCTCCAGACAGAATTGTTATTCTTTACTTTATTCTGACAGTGGATGGACTGGACTTTGAACATAATACCTTACAGGCGTTATTGCTGTTAATTCTCAAAACGGGTTAATGCACTTTTTTTAAGCTCCTATATCAATTATATGTCTAATATATCACTCTGGTACGGTTCTATTTGTGAAGAGTAAAAGAGAGTTTACTCTAAAAAACTATAATATTACTTATGCTGGTTGGTTTTGTTCGCTACATTTTGTGACTTAGCTTCAGTTGCACCGTGATACTGGTTCATTACTTGTTAACTTTGAAAGGAATTTTTTTGAAAAATGTTATTTATTTTTTCAAATTCCGAGTTTCTATTTCTAACGGCTGTTTTCCGCCTTTCAACTTGTTGTTTCTGGGGCTAATTCATATTTCCACCATTATGTGAGTTGATTGGATGTTTAAAATAAAAAATTAATGGCTGAATGTCCATAAATTCGGTTTAACCATGCATATTATTTTGTCCTTGATTTTAGCGTAATAAGGGTTATCTTGCCGATAGGGTCCTTTATTACCACAATCTTTCGGCAGATTGGCCTGATCTCTTCTAATCGATTTCGTAAATCTTTAGCTGTCTCCATTTTTACTGGTAATAATCGGTTCAAAGATACTGCTTTTATGATATGCCCCAGTTTTCTGAGCCAAAACTGAAGTCATCGTATAATCAGACGGAGGAGATAAAAAAGAATGTCCCACAATAATTTCCTTAAACTAGAAATGGTCACCCGAAGGGCATATTGCCGATATTTTTCATTAATTGACGTTGTTACTACACCAAATCGTATGCCATTCCCGTTTTGTGTATTAACAATGAAAGTTTCATTTCAACTTTATCTTAAAATTGGAGAACTGTGTGATAACTCTGTTTTAAGGTGCTCAACTTTGGTTGAGTAACATGGTATTGAAAGGCGACAGCCCTTTACTTTATTTCTAATTATCGCAAGTGTCTGATAGTGTCTGAATTATCACCACTTTTTACGAAAACTTTGTAAGCAGCATGCGTAACGTTACACAAATTACAGCATCTACTAATTGCAAGATTTGCTTTGTAATCATCATTTACCTCTTTTTTTTTAACGCACATGTGTAGATTTAGTAAATGTCTCTCCAGATTTTCTGAATTCATAAAACTATTTCTGCTTCCATTTTGTTCAAACCAGTGAAGCAAAGACGACAAGTTTCGATTTTTCAAATATTGGAAGCCCTAATAAACACACGAAAAGCACCTCTGTACGTCCGTAATGGTAAAGACATATTATTCAGAAAAACAAACAGCTTTCCATGACTTATATTTCCAAAACAATTCACTTCATGCTACTGGTAACTCTAATGTTGCTAGGGTTCAGTCCTTTCCGCTAAGCGCCAATTATGAATAAAGTTTTTGCTTTTAATTTTCTGTTTATGTCCTAAAAGATATTATTTAGTGTTCATGCTTTGGTAATCGGAAACGTGTTCATCCTTTACAAGTAAACCTTTATTTTACCAAATTTACAACTTCCGTTATTTTCTGCTTTCTTATTTGCTTAACTGTATCAGCTGATAGAAATGCTAACGTCACATCGGATTCCTACTGCAATCGCAGCGCTGGTGGCAACATATTCTTTGGTGACAACTTTCGTTAAAGTGTTGACTTATGCATACCATGCCAATGGCAACATAAGCTTATAAAAACAATTTGTTGAGATGAGCCCTGAAGGAAAAAGGTAATAGAGGAAACAGATTGTTTCCAATTAAAAAGCTGTTCACTCATTTTTATGTTATATTCTATATATCATTTTGATTAAGGCCAATGAGTGAGCTTTGCACTCATCAGTTGCACCCATAACTTACCTGCCTTGATAAAGAAACATCATATGGCTAGCATTTATTTACATACATGTTAATGAAGTGCACCGTTTATTAACGAAGAATTTTTTGATAAATGTCTTTTTGAAGCAAAATACGAATACTAAACGAACAAATTTTTTTGCTCGAATAGATAGCAATATATATTGATTTAAATTTTCCTATTTTTAATGAAAAGTTAAATGACAACTGGAAAATCATATACGTTGTGCTTGCAATGTTAACCATATGATTTCGCTGTTTTCATAAAAACATCGTAGTGTTGCTTCTCAAATATGAAGTAAGTAGAAAGGTTAAAAGCTTTGAAAAAATTTACTTCGGCGTTAAAAGCAAGGCAGGCATATGTTCAACTACGTGTTAACACTTCGTAAAACTAAACGCAAAACACAGTCCTTCTACCACCGCTTAATTCAATAAGTAAACGCATTCACAGGCACACGCTATAGCTTTGTATATTCAGTCATACATTTTACTATACTATACTGAGGTTCGTGTTGCGTAACATTACATATATAGATCGCAGGAACGTCAATAATCGTGCTCTTTTTAAATTTTTCGTTCAGTTGCTTTCACCACACTTGCTTAAAGCACCTGTATAAAGAGTAAACGTTCCGAGTTTGTCTGCGTTAAGGGCGAAGTACAACGCTTGCTTTATGCGTTGGACTCAGTAACTCAGTTAATCATACACCTTGCGTGCGGTGCTAATGCCATATCTTATGGTTAGCGTTTGTTGGTGTAAACGCTTATGACGAGGTAGAAAATTATTGAAGTGACAAATTTGTCTAAAATATGATTTTCTTCAAGCAAAACACGAAAAAAAAGAAAAGAAAGAAAGATATTTTTTGCAAGCAGGGTGCATACTCTGCTTTACGAGGACAAGGAACAAGACTGGCAAGTGTGTAAAGGTAAGGCAGTAGGGAAGAGAATTGTGAGGAAATCAAGCGAGTACGGAAGCATCGGAATTTTGTTACCTTTCAAAAAATAATAAAAAAAAAGAAAAGAAACTATTCTCCATACAGTGACTGAACATATGAACACTCAAAAACAGAATAAAAAAAAAAATAAACGTTCAAAAGTTCAATAAATATGTTAAAAAAATTTACAATAAATATGCTAAAATTTTAGTTAAAGTGAAGGCTTAAAAACGCAATAGATACATTACTGAGAAATATTTAACAGTTTACAAGTATAATAAAAAACAATTTAAAAAAACAGTGAAGACTCAATATTATTATTATTATTATTATTATTAATTTCGCCAGAGAAATAAATTCTAAGACTAAGCTCTTAAAAGCACTAGCATCTAAGGCTATCGGCTTTTATTAAAAACTCTACCGCACTTGAGAAGATTCGAACTCACGACCATTGACTTGCTAGTCGAGATTCCTCGCCTTCGGCTACTCAGGCAGATGAAAGACTCAATATAAAAGGTACAGTGATATACAAAGATAAAAACCAAAAACGAAAAGGCATGTTGTTTATTTAACACGCTAAGCTTAAGATAAAGATTTTGCTTAAAGAAAAAAAAAGCAATAGAAATGTTAAAAAAAAGAAGAAATAAAAGAGAAGACAATGACATACCTACGTTCTTTTTGGTGACATAACAACGCTAAGTATTCGAACAAAGAAAAAAAAAAGAACGGAAGACAAATGGAATGATTAGAAGCTCATCATCAATATCATCACCTACAGACTGGGTAACTGTTGTGCGTGTGCCAAGTACATGGTGCCTTTTTTCCCACCCGATTCTGGAAGTATGGGATGGTGCTATCTGAGGCAGTTGAAGTATTTGAAGCTCTTTTTACGCACGCAAACAAGGTGATCGTGCCCGTTGTCTAAATTGAGTGTATGGGTTCGTAAAGATGTGGTGAGTAAGTGATTATGTGTAAGTGGGGATATAACAACAGGCAACGCTTTAACGGACTGACAAATACATAGACACAGACTAACGGAGAGAAGGCAATGCCAACGAGCAGTAGGTTTTAGGTATTTAATTTTTTTTTGTAAATGTTGCTGGGCTAGTCTGGGAAAGAAAAAAATTCAGCCCCAGTTCTAACTACATTACACATTAATATATAATACAGCAACAAAATATAATATTCACTTATGATGAAAAAACAACGTATTATCTTTCCTCTTTTTCAATTTATTCAGTCTAATTTAACTTTTAATTTTATTTAATTTTTCCTTCTTTTCTAGTTGTTTGCCTGTATTGCATTTTGCTTGCCAAAATCCACGCACGCACAAAGTTTGATAAGTAACTGATACGCTTCGACCGCCGCATATAATGTGGTGTCACCATTTCGTCATAAATATAGATTGGAACCACTGCATTCCACTTTTACGTTGCCGTTATGGTTTTGCTGTAAAGTGCCGTGTCGGCTTACGCCTAATATAAATAAATGTACATTGGATAATGAGCTTAGTAGTATTAATAAAGTAATATATCGATTCTGAAGCTGATTTTAGAATGTCCAAAGGGTTAGTCGTTCCAAATGCAATACTTCTAGCCAAGGAAAAGTTAAGGCAGTCGGAGAGAATGTGCTTTATAGTGAGAGTTTGTACACAACTGCAGATTGGGGAGGAAGACATCTTCAAGATCCATTGGTGCGTTGCAATTGTATGACCAAGGCGAATTCCCGAAAATGTTAGGATCTTGGTTTTCTCAACATTCGTTGGATATAAAGGTGGAGTTAATAGCGGGTTAATGGAAGAGTAGTGTTGATGATGGTATTGTAAATTTCCTTCTGCAATTTTCTCTTTAACTTTTCTTCCAATGTATCTTTGAAGGTCCAACATTTCCATGACATCATCCATAATTAAAGGAGCAGAAGCAGCATACTTTGCCGCTCGATCAGCCTGCTCATTTCCCAATAAAACGATGTGACTTGGTACCCATAACATTTTAATTTTTCCGTCGGGTGTAGTAATTATATTCCTTAATTTGCTAATGGTGCAATGACGGTTTTGCGTTTGCTTTTATGGGTAAGGTTCGCAGCGTGAACAATAGCTCTGGCTTCGGTTGTGAACGTTGAAGTACTTTCGTGAAATATGTGATTGAGAAGAACCTGTCCTGTAGCATCTATCACGGCACAAGCAGGAGGCAGGCCAAAAGATTATGAGCCGTCTGTGTATGAAAGAAAGTACTCTCAAATACTTGGGTTTTTTCACCTATTAGATTCCTGCATAGATAGTGAGATGTCAAAAGAGCATTCTTTCAAAATCCAGGGAGGTTTAACACCAAAAGAGCGTGAAATTTTTAAGGGAATGTTCAATTCCTTTGCGATGCACAAACAATGGTCAATTACAGATGGTGACTTTGAAATTTTCTTCGCAATAATAATCTTTTTCACGTCATCAGCGAGAATAGATTTGTTTGAATTAAGAAGCTTGGGGACTATTTTAGCTTTTAACTCATACAGTCTGTTTTCTAAAGTTGGGAGACCAGTTTCAATTATAATCTTATTTATGGGCGTCGTCCGAAAAGCATAAGAACTTGCACTGACGGCTTGGTGATAGACCGGTTTAAGGATGTTGATATTAGATTTGCAACTATTGCCATAAATTATCAAAGCATAGTCAATCTTGCTTAACACAAGCATTTTGGTAAGATAAGCAATAGTGTTAATGTGCGGATGGCTTCTCCAAGCAACGTACTGTATGAAATTCAGCCTTGTTAAAAGAGAATTTTTTAACCGAATAGAGGGTGCTTTCCAACGATATTTGTTGGAAAAAGTGAGCCCGAGAACATGGAGCGTCTGCACATTTAGTACTGGTAAGTCATTAATATGCATCAGTAAGTTTCCTGCATCGCACATTTGTTTTGATTTTTGTGTAGAAATTTTAGCCCCTGACGAGTTTGCCCATGTGGCTATCTCTCGTGCAATAGATTCGAGGATGTTGATAGCTTTCGTGTTTTCTTTTTCTTTTGTAAAAATGTATACATCGTCCGCGTAGAGACAATGTTCTACTCTTGGTACACGGCAAAGAATTTTGCTAATTTCGTTGAAAGCGATTTGGAAAAGTGTGACAGAGAGAGGAGATCCTTGCGGAATGCCATTCTTTAGCGGAAAGGAATCAGAAAGATGATAGTTGATTCTAACTTTAAACCGCCGATGCGACATGAATGATTTGATGCAGTTTAAGAATTTGGGTCCAACATTCCATGATTCCATGATGATAACATGAAGACTAACTCTGTCAAATGTTGGATAGAGGAATAGAAAGATGAGCAGCCGTGCGAATCGCCTTAGACATAATAGCAGCATCATGGTTGCAGTTTCCGTTAAATGGCTTTGAATTCAAAAATGACTCCACCTGTTTCGAGTAAATGATTCAATCCGCTTTATCTAGGAGGAATTTGGCCTGTTTTGCTGGAGTAGCAGAGGACGTTGAAAGTTTAAGATGGATTATGATTGGAAAGTGATCACTATTGTGTAGATCATCAGAAATAGACCAGGACACCAAAGGAAGAAGTGATGGAGAGCAACATGTTAAATCAATATGTGAAAAAGTATGATGAGTTGAGAAGTGCGTCGGTTTTCCATCATTTAAAACGCAAAGGTTGTTTTAAAAAAAGGCCTTTTCTAAAACAGTACCGCGAGTGTTGTTCACTGTTGAGCCCCAGATGATATTCTAGCTGTTGAAATCGCCGCATATAATTAATGGGGAGGGAAAGTACGGAGAATAAATTGTAGAGTTCTTGCTGAGAAAACGATTGCGAAGGTGGAATATAGAGCGAACGCACTGTAAATTTTATGTTTAACATTATTTTTATGGCTACGGCTTGTATATTTGAGCTTAAATACATGCGTTTGTGAGGTATACTTGATTTTATAAAAACACCAACTTCTTGTTTGGAATATAAATTTTGATTAGCATTCGTGAAGTATTCAGTATATGATTTAGGTGGAATAAGACTAAAAGAGGGTGTACAATGAGTCTCTTGAAGCGATATAAAGGTTGAACTGAGATCACTTACGAGTGTACGGAGTTCATCAAAATTATTAAGAAGTCCCTTAATGTTCCATTGTAGAATTTTAAAAACTTTATTTAATTGTAGTGACATGGAGTGGAAAGTAAGTTAAGTTGACATGTCAGCGTCTCCGTCGAAAATGTCACTATAAAAATTTTGCGTGAATAATTTGTTCTTACCAGCAGAATAATCTGTACTTAGGTGTCTGCGTATATTTGAACCGCCACGAGTGGGCACACGTGAATAATTTGAAATTGAAGGTCGATTGAGGGATGAAAGATTGGATTCATTACAGCTTGTAATTCGTTGAGTAGAGTTTAGAACTGATGATTCTGGGGGATTTAGATTATTAGATTTTGGCATATGTGTTGTTTTAATTTTTTCAATATTTGCTGTTGTTTTGATTTTTTCAATATTA